GGGCGGGACCCCTGCCAGGCGCGCGCTCACACTGGGCCTGGGACAGCGCGGCGAGGCTCCCGGCCCGCAGAGCAGGGGCGTGCCAGGCTGCTCAGCCGTGGCTGCGGCAGCCGAGGCCCCTCTGGTGCCCGCTGGGTGGGGTCGCCTCTCTGGCTCAGGTCGCCATCTGGAAGTGGGGACTGTGAGCGAGCCCCCGAGAGCTGCGTGAGGCCCGCAGGGAGCCCCCCCGGACGCCCAGGCGTGCCCCGTCGCCGAGGGGCTGTGCCCCGCCCTCTCAGGACACTGGCCCTAGGGAAGGCGTCTTCCTGACGGGCTCCCTGGTCTTCCACTCCCCGCCTGGGCCTGGTTCTGCCACGTCTCCCGACAGCTTTACCAAAGAACAGCGCCGTGCGAGGGTGAGGCGGCCGCCCCGCTTGGGCTTGGGCACCACGGAGGACTGCCTGTCCCCACTGTGACTAGATTCTGGGGCCTGCGGCCGCCTCGACACGCTCCTGTGGGCGCCTGCTCTCCTTGGGGGTCTCCCCTGGAGTGGGGCCTCCGGAGGGCTGGTGCTCAGGACGGAGGCGCCGGGGTGTCGGGCACCTGTTCTCACTGGGGCGCCCGGGACCTGCCAGGGTGCTGCCGCTGAGGTCAAGGGTGGCCCCCGTGGAGCAGGCCTGCTCAGCTGCCCCTCCCGGGCCGTGGCGAGTGGCCGCTTTGGGCCCAGGCCTTGGGCGGAGGAGCCAGAGGGAGGTGGTGCGGGTGGAGAGACGAAGCTTAGGGTGCTGGCCAGAGCTAGGCCAGCCTGGCCTCGCTCATCACTGTCTGGGCCCGGGCTGCTTCCTTCCAGGCTAGGGTGGGGCCACGTCCCGGGCCCCCCGCTCTGCCTGGCCCTCTCTGGTGGCCCCCAGCCTGGGAAGTGCCGGGCTGATGCCACCAGCACCTGCAGCTTCCCAGGCCCTGGGCAGGCACCCCTGGGCAGCCCCCTTTATAGAAGCACCCCGACTTGGCTGCCTCACTGGGCCCCTGCCCTAGACAGCCGCCCCCGCCCACATGCCGGTGGCCCCTGGCTCGTCACGGGGTCCCGACGCCCAGGATTTATGTCCCGATCAAACCTGGCTCCCGGTTTCCTGCTCTACCTCTGCACTGCCTGCCGCCTGTCTGCCCTTCTGCCAGGGCTCTGTCCCTGGGAGGACACCCCCACCCCCACCCACCGGGGCCTCTGGGCTCAGCCAGCTTTGCCGTGTCGGGCCTGCGTGCGCCGAGGCTGCTCTGGGCCAGGCAGGCTGCTGCCCGCTGCACACCCCGTCTGTCTTCTGGCAGGGGCCAGCGCACCCGTGTGCCAGGCGGAGCGAGGAGGCTCAGCGGACGCTGCCGGCCCGCTTAGGCTCCGGGAGGGGCTGCCGAGCTTGTGGGGAAGGCTCCGGAGGGCGACGGGCTTCGTGCGGGCGGGCAGTGGCCGACCGAGGTCCGCTGCCGGCGCCTTCCCCGCGCCTCCCCCGGGACCAGGCCGTGGGGCCCGGACAGGGCCCTTCTCTGCTCTTCTGCAGATGGCCAGGTGGTCAGCATCCCTTATTTTACCTTCACCAGCAGTCTGAGTGCCGGGCCCTGGGGGGACCTTTCCACGGGGGTGGGGTTCTGGAGGGAGGCGGGGCTGAGCCCCGCGGTGGGCTTCAAGGCCGCCAGCCCCTCTCGCCGGAGACCTCATGTTCCAGCACAGCGTCGCGGCTCCGCCAAGCCTCCAGCACTGGCCTGGGTAGACGCCGGCGGTGCGGCGCCCCCTTTCCCGACAAGCCCCGGCGTGGGGGTCTGGGCTCCCCGGGGTGGTCCCGCCTGCCCAGAGGTTTTCTGTGAGCAGAGCGCGTGGGCTCGGCTCGAGCCCGCGGTGCCCTCGGTCACCCGCTTCCGAGAGGGCACCCCGGGGCAGCGTCAGATCGGGGGCTGGGGCCAGAGGTGCCTTTTCTGGAGCTGAGTTTTACACGTTGGGTAGAAAAATAAAAATCCAATGAGAGGAAAATCACAGCTCCTGAGAACCTGGTGGAGCAGAGCCCACAATTAACGAGATTTCTCTATAATTTGACGGCTCCTCCGAGGAGAACAGGCTCCCGCAAAAGGCTAATTATACATTTGTTTACTCAGCCCCCCGGCAGCTTCCTGACAGCCGGTCGGGGCTGGAAGCAGCCGCAGAGGTCAGCTCCGCCCGCCCCGCGGCCAGCCCCCCACGGCGCGTCTGGGCTCGCTGGCACCCGCGGGCAGCGTTTAAGTAGGAAAACAGATGCACCCCACCGGGGAGAGCTGAGGCGCCCTGGCCAGGGCCGGGAATGCTGGTCAGGAGGTTTGCAGCTAACAAACGGAGACGCAGGCCGGGACGTCAACGGTGAAGACAGATCAGGCGAGTCGGTGACCGGGGAGGGAGGCCCTCGGCCTGTTCCCAGCAGGCCAGGCCAGGCTGATCGCCCGCTGGGCACGCAACTCCAGCGTCACTCGCGTGCGTCCTTGTACCTTGGAACCTAACGTGTCATGTGTCGCCCAAGCACAGAAGTCAGACTTGAGTGCCGCACTCACCCCGACAGAGCGAGGGCCCCACGGGCGGAGCCCATCCTGGGGGGGTGCAGGCGTGGTCCTCCTGTGTCCCTTTGGGGCGCAGGCTCGTGCGTGTGCGTGTGTGTGTGTGCTGCTTGCGTCTCTGGGTCTCTGGGTTTTGCGTGCTCCACTGGCACCTGTGCCAGAGGGAGCACTGGGCACGGGCCTGCGTGGGCCCGGCGCCGCGTGCCGCCGGGGGTCTGCGGATTCTCCCGGAGGGGGGCGGGCAGCGGGCACGTTCTGGCCGCAGCTGGGGCAGCTCGCCCACCCCGGCGTCACAGAGCGGCGAGCCGGACCCAGCAGGCTCCTTCCGCAAGGGCGGGCGCTTGGCTCTGGACCTCGGCCCCACGCGGCCAGGCCGGACCTCGGGGCGAGGGGAGGAGCCGCACCGGCCTGGCCAGACTCAAGCCTGCTGTCGCTGTCCGTTTCCCTTTTGTTTCTCTTCTCTGGCCTTCTCCGTCTGTGGAGAGAGCACCTTCACAAATGGCCTTAGAATGCCCTTCTGAAGCTTACCAGAACGAGACAACCATCAGAGGTATTTATTATCACAGCTTACCTGAAGAATGAAAACACAAAAACTGTATCACCAATGTTTACAAGTCCGAGCAGGCATCAGCCCCTGTAACATATGTAATTTATGCAAGGGATTGCATCTTTCTTTTGTAACGAATGCACTAAGCAACCCTGTATATATTTTACAATGTCTTTACAGAAAAAGAAAGAATCATTTACGGGAGTGTTGTAAAATAATGCACTTTTCTAATTTTTTCATTAAAATCTCTATGGCACGTTTGCAAATTGTCTTGGTCTTCCTTCGCTGAACGACGTGGGGGGCAGCCGTGTGGACGCCGCTGACCCTCCCGGACCCCAGGCCGCAGCAAAGACCTGACCCGACATCTTTGATTTCCTCTCGGGGCCGACGGCTCTGAGTTTAGGGATCAAGCTAGCCCCTTCTACGCGTTACGCCTGTCTGCTGCAAGGAAGGGCGGTGGCCGAAGGTGCCTGGAGAGCTCGCTGCCCTGGCCGCCGGGCGCCTGGACCAGAGGCCCCCCGGGAGGGCGCGAGGGTGGGCATCTCCTGCCAAGTTCCTCGTGTCTGCGGTTTGAGAGTTGGATCATTCTCACGGGCCGCCGGTAGCCTTCCCTCTGACCCTCCGGCACACAGACCCCCACGCCGCGGCCGGGGCGGGTGGAGGAGCCGTGGGCAGGGCCCAAGGGGCCGTGATGGGGCAGGCAGCGCTGGCGCCGGGCCGTGGCTGCGCAGAGGCCGCTCAGGAGCCCCCGGAAGGGGCGTGAAGGCCTGGGGTGGGCGCGGCTGCGTGGACTGGGCCGGGGGCCTCGCTCCGACTCGGTCATCTTGGGAAGGCAGTTTCTAGCTTCAGGAAGGAGGTGGGTTCTTCCTAAGCTCTGCCTTTTCTGACATTACGTCAAAGGAGCCCTGCCCAGCCCTGCCCAGCCCTGCCCAGCCCTGCCCAGCCCAGCCCAGCCCTGCCCAGCCCTGCCCAGCCCTGCCCAGCCCTGCCCAGGCCCGCATGGGCCCAGCCCTGCCCAGCCCGGCCTCTCCCAGTCCGGCTGACAGGCCGTCTGGGCAGACACCAGCGCCCCGACACCAGGCCCACGCCGCTGTCTGAG